CTTTTTTTTTTTTTTTTTTTGGTACGGGGGACTGAACTCTGGTCCTTGCGCTTGCAAGGCAGGCCACCGAACTGCTGAGCTAAATCCCCGGCCTGCTGACATCTTAATAGTATATTGAGTGATTGTCAAGGTTCCCTGACTTATAGAGTAATATGAATTATGGCTAAATTATGAATAGAAGTTAAAAAGCAAATTATTGAAATTATAATAGGGCTTATATTTCATATTTAAAAGCCTTTTCCTTAGTATATTTCCATATTACTTTGATAATAATCTAAGGGAAGTGACCCAAGAAGGTGCACATTGTTTCTTTGGTGTCATACACTTACCAGAGAATTTCAAGAAGAGTGCTGCTCTGCTGTAATTGTCGTCGTACTTCGGAGCAACATTCTGAATTAGTTTTCATTGAGGTGGGCATAGAGTAGCTTTCACAGCTATACAGTCTGGAGTCCTTATTCTGGGAAAGAGAATGCTCCAACGGTTAACTTTTTTGTTTGTGAGTGCCACCGTAACCCAGCTATTGACTTTTGGAAATTAAAAATTATTTTTTTAAAAAAGGGACCCTGGTCAGGCATAGTGGTGCATTCCTTTAATCCCAGCACTCCAGAGGATGGAGCAAGAGGATTTCTGCAAGTTCAAGTCCACCCTGGGCCACATAGTGAGTTCAAGTTCAGCCTGAAATACATAGTGAGACCTTGTCTCAAAAAACAAAAAAAAAACACAAAAAGCGGTCCTGTGAACATCAGTGAGGCCTCCTTGCACAGGACTAAGGGAGAAGCCGTGGGGCGGGGCTTCACCTTCATCATCCTCACAGCAAATGCATCTCTGAGTAAGACATTAGTGAGGGGATTCCCGACAGTGCTCCAGTTTCACAGAATGAAAAGAAGCCTTTGGACTTCATCCTTGAGAATGGAGAATACTGCGATAATTGTTACAGTGACGAATTATTCTGTTCTTAGCAGTGTTCCTTTATTGTGTTTTGTTTTTAAAAATATGGTAGTTAATGATTTTACACCAGGTGTGGCGGTGCCTTCCTGTAATCTCAGCACTCAGGAGGCTGAGGGAGGAGATCAGCAGGCCAGTCTGGGATACTGAGTGAATTCAAGGCCAATGTATTCACTGCACACAGAATACTGAGTTACTAGGCTTATAAATTGTTTCTCGTACTGTCAGTTGACAAGAACAACTGAGTTTTCAGAAGTCTACTGACTAGGTGAAGACAGGTCTGCAGGAAGTAATCCATGCCATCCACGAACCACAGACGGTTCATGAAATGGTTAAAGTATGAAGTATGCAGGCAACACAATAAAAAGAATATCACTGCAGTTCCAGGACTTCCAGTTCCTGCTGCATGGGATGCCGGAGAAACCGCTCAGACACATGGCTGCCCTAGTTCTGGCTCAGGCTTTCTTTGCTGTTCATCCCTGTTTTTTGTAAACGTCATGAATTATAGTGGAATAACTGCACACAATTTATTTCCAGTTGCAGTGGTTGAGGTTTGAAAGGATATTTCCTGGAGTTTTGTTGTCTTTTGTTTGAGACAGAGTCTCGGTATGTAGGCCAGGCTGGCCTCGGACTCTCAACAGTCCTCCTGCCTCAGCCTCCCAAGCCAGGGCTGGGATTCCAGGCACGCACCACCATGCCCAGCTTCAGTCTACTGCCTTTTTACAGCTGCACTATTTTCTCTGCTGGGATCACAGATGCTCAACTCCTTCTCGAGGTGGTTACTTGTAGAACAGGAGAAGGGAAACATGTTTTCTGTAAGGCATCCGACAGACTCCTGCAATACCTTTATGGTGCACGCGATGGGGAAGTACTACGTAGGTGGCACATCTCTAGCCAACGGAATAGCTCTCCCCGAGGGGCAGGCTGTCATTCTGCATGGAGGACTCTTGACGGCTCCAAGAACTGGACCAGGTACCGGACCAGGTACCGGGCATGCAGAAGGAAGAGCAGGCTGGGGTGCAGGACTGGGTCTAGCACTGTCTCGGATGTGGATGTGGGCGTTTCGGGTTGAGTATAATGACTTGGGTGTGCAGTAGGGAGGGAGCGGGGGAGGCGGGGGCAGGGAACGGGGAGGGAACTAGTTGCATAACAAACAATTTATTAAGTAAGAACCAACTGTGTAGCGATGCTATCTGGCCATTGGGCATGTTGTAACTCAGACTCACGAAGAACTGGAAGCAGAGGCGATGACTTTCCCCATGCAGTAGGCGGGTAGGTGGTAAGAGCTGGGACGGGAGCCCTGCTGAGCTATGGAGGACCTTCAGTGGCAGGCATAGTTGAGTTGGTCAGGTTGCACATACGAGCGAAGGCTCATCAACTCCTAGAGAATCTATGTCACTGTGGTTCCTTTCTGGATCACCTCGTGTGATCACTTGGAAGGTGATATACCCCTCTTCCTGTTAGGCCGGGTCTGGCCAGAGGAGGCAGGTCACTGTGGGCGTGGCCTGGACGCTGTGGCTCCCTCTCTGGCTCCTCCCCTCTCACTGTTCTTTCTGTCTGTCAGGCCGTGGTGAGCATCTCCCCTCTGCCCGGCGCTTCCACCATGCTCTCCTGCCTGGGAGCCAGGCACTGAAACCACTGCATACCACGAGCCAAGTTAATCCTCTCTTCTTGTACATTGTGGGTGCTGGGTATTGTGACCCAGAGACAATGAGCAGAGATGTATGTATCATCCAGAAAATAAAAGCCATGCCTTCTGTGTACAGTCACACCTTGCACTGTGAGTAACTTGATCTGTGAGTGTTCCGCAAGATAAGCAAATATTCCTGATGAATTGTACTTGATAAGTGAGCAGGGCCTTGCAGTAGGGGTATGTGACAGAATGTCACGTGACTGCAGCGGAGCCAAAGGTGAGCGCCCCCTGCTTCCCTCCCTCTCTCCCTCTGTCCCTGTCCCCCCACTTGCTCTCTGCCCCCGGGATTATGCGTGGTCATGCTCGGTTACCAACAGGAAGAGGTGTATGGAGGAGATCTTGTCTGCAGAGGAGGAGAAAGGGCGGGGAACCCTTCACTTCATATGATATCAGGGAGATGTATAAAGGGTGGGAAACTGAAGGTTTTGTAGAAAAGCACCACCCGAATAAGGCTGTGGCATCGCGAGCGATGAATCTGTGTCATGGCCACGCGATGTCACATTTCCATGAAACCCTCAAAAGGAAGCAAGAGCAAGTGTCGTGGGATAGGTTCCTTGTTGAAGCTGCATGAAAAGAAAGACTCCAGGGAGCCAGCAGATAGCAGTGATTCCCCGTTAATGAGGGTGAAAGTTGTGCTACACAGTAACCCTCCTCTCACCTCCCTCACGCAAGTCGTGGGGATCTTGAAAGGAAAGTACAGGTTAGTTCATTTACTTTTCTTCATGTTTTGTATTTTCTTTATTATTTTGTATTATAGCGTTGTAATCACTTTTAGGTGAACGTTTTCGGGTTGTAGAATGAATGAATCATCTGAGCTGCCATTATTTCTTATGGGGAAATTCCCTTTGATATCCAGGTGCTTTGGATTATAAGCAGTTTCCAGGATGAATTCTGCTCACAAACCAAGGTTTTACCAGATGTGTGTTTTCTGGGCAGTGTGTCCACAGCGCTCAGTTCTCGAAGTCGTGCTGTGTGACAGAGCGGGTAGGAGGAGTGGGGCCCAAAGCTGGAGAAGGGTTTCTGAGAAGGCAGGAACGGTCAGTGAGGTGAGACAGCATATATCCAGGGACCAAAGGGAGCAGTGGGTGCAGGAGACCCCGGCAGCCCCAGTCAAAGGCAGGTGGGTGGGAGAGCAGGGGCGGAGGTGAGACCGGGTCTCACGCCTCGAGTCCAGATGCTGGTGGGAAGGGAAGGGGAGCGAACTGGCTGTGGCCTAATGTGAGCAGACAGAACAAGGAGCAAAAAAGGATGGACATGTAATATCAGACTCTAGCTAAATGCAATCACTGTGTATCACGAATGTACTAATAAGTGAATAAATAGGACGAAGACAAGGGTTTTACTCTTCCAGTAAGAAGACTTGAGTATTAAATGTTAAGTGGCAAATTAAAAAAGCAGTAGATATAAAAATGGAAGTAAACCGTGGAGGTGCATAGCTGTCATCTCAGCAACCTGAGAGGCTGAGGCAGGAGGATCACAATCCTCAGTCACCATTACTGAAAAAGAAAAAAGAAAAAAGGAGGGGGGCACAGATGTAGCCTAGGGGTAGGGGACTTGCCTAGCATGCACAGCGCACTGGATTAAATTCCCAGCACAGCAATAAGTAAATAAGTTTGAAAAAGGGGCAAGAACAGATGGGATCTAGGTACAGAGAGGGGGCTGCAGTTCTGCTTGGAGAGGGAGGCAGGAAGTCACGATGACTCGGGGGAGCTCAGTGCAGGGAGTGGAGGAATCCCTGCACTTTCTATGGCGCAGAAACGAAGCTTAGATACCTGAGGAGCAGGAGCAGGCGCTCAGATAATTCCGCAGCAGTTCATCTGACCGCTG